GCCCCGTCCGTGCTTTGATGCTATTCATCCGTGCCATCCTTGGTCTTCCTCGTGCACGTGAACCGGGTATTGTGCCCTGCATAACACTGGTCAACACACTTTTTTTGGCGTAAGGTATTCCAACGGTTTTAATGTAATTTTGGGGTGCTGATTCCAAATCTGGCATCAGTTTTTGACTATCACATCAGGTTTTTGAGATATCAAATATTGCATTTTCAATAAAAAACTGCTGAAAAAATATTAAATAAATGTGGATCTCTACATAAAATGATATTATAAACACACTATCCTAAAAATACAGCACCATATTTTAACACTAAAGCAGTCACTGACTCGCAACAACTTGCAATTATAAGTGACAGAGTTAATTTCGGGTAAAATCAATGAAAATGGAGTATGCCGATAGCATAAAAATGAAATGTGATAGAGCAAATCTGAGATCAGATTTGGAATCGGCACCCTGAAATTAGTCTTAAACAGCTGCAAAAGTCCAGGCCAGAAAAAAAAGTGTTTTGTTTTGTTTACCAGTGTTATCTGCTTTTCCAAACAAGTTTCATTTTTTCCATCATGGCACGACCACAGGAGGCGAGGCTCTCTTAACGTTATCACCTCTGAACAGTTATCTTTCAACGCCAGCTTTCTCCAGAGCCCATTCATTCGTAGCAATATCCGCCCGAGTCCTTTCATTTCAAAGGCGTTTATCCCGTATCCCCTCGTTCTTCACGATTGTCCAACTTTCACAAACCACAAGCTTGCAACGGGCCGAACAAGTAGATCAATCGCGCATTGCATCACGGGCCCGCAAGCTACTTGCAGTAACGCGTGACGGCCGCGATGCGGCGCAGCGAGACCACGCTGAGCAGCCAAGTATTGATTTTTGCAAACGACATTAGATTAAATTTCGATTTAAAGCTTTCGTGACTGCAGGGATTCATCTTCTTGGTTCTTTTGGTAAAGTACTACTTGTGATTACTATACACCACCCTTATACATTGTAATATTACACTATGTACTAGTCGCATATCTGCATTTCCCATAAATATGCTCAAATTCGTAGTTGTATGGTGAATATGCAGATGGTGAATATGCAGCAGTGTGGTGTGCGGTCGGGTGGGTAGAATAATACATAGTGTAATATTACATAAATATGCTAAAATTCCTCTTGATATGCAAAATTATTTTGTCAAGGCGCTCTTCCTCCTCCCTCCCAGCCTAAATAGACGCTCCAAGCCCAGGACGTGTCATTCAGACTTTGTCTTATCGACAGACCTATTCTTCACCTGAGGACGGCTGCTTGCGTTGTGGCCGAAACGTCGTGAGAATTATTTTATTATGTTTTATTTGTATTATTTTATTATTTCCATTCTACGTGACTTTACCGAAAGAATCAAGAAGACATTAGATTACCAAATATTTGTAAATAAAGTGGGGTTTTTTATTTAATTTTTTTATTTTAGGTAACCATTAGGCTACGAGTGGGCGAAAATCATCAAGCGTGTTCTGGCGAACATTCTACCACCAAATATCCGCCACGGTGGCGAGATGTTGACTACCTGTGAATTAGCGAGGTGAGTGACACGCACGGAGCGACACGGCCACGGCCGCCGCCGCTCACCCAGAAGAGATCGACGGCGGTGTGACCACGACGAGGTGAAAGGAACGAGTCTGAATTATCGAGGTGAAATTAACAAGGTGAAATTAACGAGGTGAAATTAACGAGTCTGAATTAAAGAGGTGAAATTAAGGAGGTGAAATTAACGAGGTGAAATTAACGAGGTGAAATTAACGAGTCTGAATTAAAGAGGTGAAATTAACGAGGTGAAATTAACGAGGTGAAATTAACGAGTCGAAATTAACGAGGTGAAATTAACGAGTCTGAATCAACGAGGCGAAATTAACGAGGTGAAATTAACGAGGCCAAATTAACGAGTCTGAATTAACGAGGTCAAATGAACGAGTCTGAATGAAGACGCAGACTCGTGTAGCCACGCGCAGTCGCCTCCCCTGTGCAGGTGAATAGGCGCAGACTCGGCGAGTGCGACTCATTGGCTGTCCCCGCAGGGCGGGTGGAGGGGGAGGGGTTTCGACGCGACCCTCACGCCGACACCCACGAGGTCGTGTGTGTGTGTGGTGTGTGTGTGTGGTGTGTGTGTGGTGTGTGTGTGGTGTGTGTGTGGTGTGTGTATGGTGTGTGTGTGGTGTGTGTGTGTGGTGTGTGTGGTGTGTGTGTGGTGTGTGTGGTGTGTGTGTGGTGTGTGTGTGGTGTGTGTGTGGTGTGTGTGTGGTGTGTGTGTGGTGTGTGTGTGTGTGTGTGTGGTGTGTGTGTGGTGTGTGTGTGGTGTGTGTGTGGTGTGTGTGTGTGTGTGGTGTGTGTGTGGTGTGTGTGTGGTGTGTGTGTGTGTGGTGTGTGTGTGGTGTGTGTGGTGTGTGTGTGGTGTGTGTGTGGTGTGTGTGGTGTGTGTGTGGTGTGTGTGGTGTGTGTGTGGTGTGTGTGTGGTGTGTGTGGTGTGTGTGTGGTGTGTGTGTGGTGTGTGTGTGGTGTGTGTGGTGTGTGTGTGGTGTGTGTGTGGTGTGTGTGTGGTGTGTGTGTGGTGTGTGTGTGGTGTGTGTGTGGTGTGTGTGTGGTGTGTGTGTGGTGTGTGTGTGGTGTGTGTGTGTGTGTGTGTGGTGTGTGTGTGGTGTGTGTGGTGTGTGTGTGGTGTGTGTGTGGTGTGTGTGGTGTGTGTGGTGTGTGGTGTGTGTGTGGTGTGTGTGTGGTGTGTGTGGTGTGTGTGTGGTGTGTGTGTGGTGTGTGTGGTGTGTGTGTGGTGTGTGTGTGGTGTGTGTGTGGTGTGTGTGGTGTGTGTGTGGTGTGTGTGTGTGTGTGGTGTGTGTGGTGTGTGTGGTGTGTGTGTGTGGTGTGTGGTGTGTATATGGTGTGTGTGTGTGGTGTGTAGTGTGTGTATGGTGTGTGTGTGTGGTGTGTGTGTGGTGTGTGTACGGTGTGTATGGTGTGTGTGTGGTGTGTGTGTGGTGTGTGTGTGTGTGTAGTGTGTATGGAGTGTGTGTGTTGTGGTGTGTGTATGGTGTGTGTATGATGTGTGTGTGTGTGTGGTGTGTGTGGTGTGTGTGTGGTGTGTACCGGCTTGAATAAGTACATCGACAATGGCAGCACCCGCCTGCCAAGCTCTCAGCGCCACCCCGTGGAGGTTCAAATCAAATGACGGAAGCAGAGACCTCGGGGTTGGGGAGGGAGCTTCACTTGTTTCGTGTCGAGCACTCAACAGACAAGGCCCCTCACATCTCCTTGGGTTTACCAGCACCACAGTCGCAGGTCCACGTGGAACTTCAGCAACAACAACAACAACAAAACAACGCACCCAGATAGCAAGTGACCTCTAGCCCAGAAAACTCACCTGCTCAGTGAGTTTGATGATGGGACAACGAGTGCTGGAGTCAAACTAAGAAGAGAGGCGTTCGCTGATTTTGAGGGCGTGTGTGGATTCAGATGCCACCGACACCAAACTCGCTCGGCATCGGTATGGTCACGGGCACGATGCGTTCCAGAATCGGCCACAAGGGAGAACTCGGGTAACGTTGTAGATTTTAAGTTGTTTATGTTCTGGTACCAGAACAACAGGGTTTCACGAAGCCTGGCAGAGTGCAAATTCTTAACTGTTTAAATTCTAAACTTAAAAAAAAATCTTCTTGGTTCTTTTGGTAAAGTCACGTAGAAGGGAAGTAATAAAATAATAAAAATAAAACAATAAAATATGTTTTATATTTATTGTTTTATATTTATTTTTATTATTTTATTACTTCCCTTCTACGTGACTTTACCGAAAGAACCAAGAAGATGAATCCCTGCAGTCACGAAAGCTTTAAATCGAAAATTAAAATTTTTTTATTTTTACCAGGAAAGGCCCACTGAGCTATACATTTTTAAGAAGCGACCTGACCACAAATGACAGCCCCACGAAGTGACTGACCATCACGTGGAAACGTAAAGCAGCAAAATATTCTAAACACGCGATGTTGATTCTAAATGTGGAGGGTAAAACCGGAGGACTCGGAGAGTAGTTCACGCGACCACGGGGAGAGAGAGAGAGACGCAAACCCCCAAAAACACAGCAGGCGTCGGGGTCGGGATTGAATCCATGACCTCCTGCGTACCAGGCGAGGAGTTAACATCTCATCACCGCGGCGCACAAATGAACTCCCAGTTGTGTCCTAAAGTCGCGCGCGTGGACGAGAGGAGCCGCGCGTACGGGCACCGTGCCATCGCGGCCTGGCACGGCTCGGACTCGCCAGTGGGAAAATATAATGATGAAAATAGTGTCCACTTGTAACGCACCGTCGCATCGGAGTGTTCGCTCGCTCGCGGGGAGAGAGGGAGGACGACTCAGAGAGAGAGAGAGAAGGACGACTCAGAGAGAGAGAGAGGACGACTCAGAGAGAGAGAGGATGACTCAGAGAGAGAGAGGACGACTCAAAGAGAGAGGACGACTCAGAGAGAGAGAGGACGACTCAGAGAGAGAGGACGACTCAGAGAGAGAGGACGACTCAAAGATAGAGAAAGAGAGAGGACGACTCAGAGGGAGAGAGAGGACGACTCAGAGAGAGAGAGGACGACTCAGAGAGAGAGAGGACGACTCAGAGAGAGAGAGGACGACTCAAAGAGAGAGAGAGGACGACTCAGAGAGAGAGAGAGGACGACTCAGAGAGAGAGGACGACTCAGAGAGAGAGGACGACTCAGAGATAGAGAAAGAGAGAGGACGACTCAGAGGGAGGACGACTCAGAGAGAGAGAGGACGACTCAGAGAGAGAGGACGACTCAGAGAAAGAGAGAGAAGATGACTCAGAGGCACCAGGAGGAGGAACCACAGACGAGCTGGATAGCAGCAGCAGCAGCGGCAGCGGCAGCAGCCACGCTGCGTGGCGCTGTCGCTCCGAACAATCGCTGCCTGCACCGAACGAGGCATTGAGAGAGAGCAGGTGGGTGGGTGTGGGGTGGACTCACGGGGGTGGTGCCGCCTGACACGGTGCTCATGCTGATGGAGGAGCTGAGCAGCAGCAGCTTGTGCGAGGAGGAGGACGAGGAGGAGGAGGAGCAGGGCGAGGGAGAGTCCAGCGCCGCGTCACGCCGGCTCACGAGGGCGCGCCACGCACGCTGGATCCTGCCGCGCAGGAGACGACACAGGGAGCGAGTCGCATCGTCACCATCGTCGTTATCATGATCGCCATCATCACCATCATCATTAACATTTTCGTCATCATGATCACCATCACCGTCATCGTCACCATCGTCGTTATCATGATCGCCATCATCATCATTAACATTTTCGTCATCATGATCATCATCATCACCGTCATCGTCATCATCATCACCATCGTCGTTATCATGATCGCCATCATCACCATCATCATCAACATTTTCGTCATCATGATCATCATCATCACCGTCATCGTCACCATCATCACCGTCATCGTCACCATCATCACCATCGTCGTTATTATGATCGCCATCATCACCATCATCATCAACATTTTCGTCATCATGATCATCATCATCATCACCGTCGTCGTCACCATCATCACCATCGTCGCTATTATGATCACCATAGTCATCTTCATCACGATCATCATCACTGTCATCATGATCATTATCATCACCGTCGTCACCATCATGATCACCATCATGATCACCATCGTCACCATCATCACCATCGTCACAATCGTCGGCATCGCTTAAGAATCCCACGGCAGCTCCTGAACAACTTACCGCTATTTTATTTTGTTGCGCATGGTGACAGCAGGAGCAGAGCAATGCTACCATCATCATCATCATTATAAAATTTAGATTTAAAGCGTTCGTGACTGCAGGGATTCATATTCTTGGTTCTTTTGGTAAAGTCACGTAGAAGGGAAATAATAAAATAATAATAAATATTAAACAACAAAAATTCTCACGACGTTTCGACTGCAACACAAACAATCATCATCAGGTGTGAAATCCACGGCAATAATTTTTTTTCAATTTTTTTCAAATTTTCTTGCTGTGGATTTCACACCTGGTGATGATTGCTTGTGTTGCAGTCGAAACGTCGTGAGAAATTTAGATTTAAAGCTTTCGCGACTGCAGGGATTCATCTTCTTGCTTCTTTCGGTAAAGTCACGTAGAATGGAAGTAATAAAATAATAAAAATAAAACATGATAAAATAAATTCTCACGACGTTTCGGCCACAACGGAAGCAGCCGTCCTCAGGTGGAGAACAGGTCTGTCGAGAAGACAGCGTCTGAATGACAAGCCCCAGGCTTGGAGCGACTATTTAAGCTGGGATGGAGGGGCGTGAGAAATGTTATTGTTTTATATTTTTATTATTTTATTATTTCCCTTCTGCGTGACTTTACCGAAAGAACCAACAATATCATCATCATTATTATTATTCACGAGTTCGATGCCAATGTCCAGGTCTGCTGCTGCTGCTGCTGTTCGCTGGCCACTACGTAGAGGACTTCTGGGCTACTGCAGTCATCGCTGTTGTTGGACACCCCGAGATCACGCGCACACTCGCACCTGCTCTCTTACTTACATCGCCACCGACCTCGCGTCTCATGTAAAGCGCTGATTTGCACTCGTTTTTTGAGAAATGCACGTCAAGAAACAAACAACGACACGCCACACAAATCAACGCATGCTCGCGTCAATTAACACGATGTAACGCAATTTTTATTCCTGGGTAGTAAGTGTTGTTTCGTAATTGCTTATACCTAAAACGTAGAGAAAATGACTATTATTCTCCACAAACTTTGCTTTTATGACCAGGACAGTGATAATTTGAAATGTACCTATTTTCAATGAGAAACGGGCGAATTTGTGTATTTTTGTTCACGAAAAAAAATTAAGATGCATTTATACTAAAGTAGTAAAAAAATGACTACCAGCGACAGACAGAGCTGGCCAGCGCTTAGTTTCTGCCCGGTCTGGGTAGGTGACCCTGAAAGTATTTCCACAAGCGGCTCACCACATCCAGTATACATTTCACCTATGGCTGTGGGTGCCAGTGGCGTGCATACTCCGCTAACGACTCGACAACATATTCAATCAATTTCAAACACAATGCATATATTATTATCGGAGCATGTGTTTTTTTAAATCCTTTATATTAAGTTCGCTTGCTTGCTTACGACTGTGCAAATCTTTCGATAGTTTTTTAACCCACTTCCCGTGATCCAATCGAGCTGATATTTTCCACACAGACTCGTTGTGCGTGACAATTAATGTTCGTGAAATTTTTTTCAAAAATTTTACACTTTTTAGGACAAAACAATTATATTTAATTACCAATTGCTTAATGGTGTAATGCAATCATCTGACCCATAAGTGGCAGCCATCTCAAGCCAGAGGACGAGAGGACTCTAGCCGCCACGCATATAAAGGATTTATAGTGAAAAACTTTGTTTTTACGGGTTATACTTATTACTTGTACGCGAACTCGATTCCTTGCAGAAGGTTGCTATTTGGTGTTTGGACATCTTAACGCCTCCTGTTTTGCGGCCAAATCGAGCGGCACGCGCTGCGGCAGGCATAGACGCAGGAAGAAGGAAAGAACGCAGCGAGTCTGGTAGAATGAGCTCATTGACAACGCCGGAGGCGTCAGGGTGTTGACGTGAAAGGGCACGGCGGCTGCGGTAGTAGCAATACAAGAGTGACGAGGGGGTGACTGAACGATGGCGCGACACAGTGCCGGATTATTCTCGTAGCAAAAGTAGCTACTACATATGTAGTAGTACTACATATGTAGTAGCTACTGAATAAAAGTAGCTGCATATGTAGTAGCTACTGCATGTGTAGTAGCTGCTACACATTTAGTAGCTACGGGCCCCGCAATTTCAAGGGCCCCGCGCTAAATGCTTTCAAGCTATCAATTCCGGTTCACTGATTCCGCACTTGCTCTATTACTATAGTACTATACCGCCTTCGACTTTTATGAACGACTTCGTGTTTAATGCTCGCGATTTGTCGTATTATCTGGCTGTATAGCAATGAAAGGGGTGTAGGGAGCTCTGGGTAGAGGTAGTACCTTTGTTTTCTGGTAGCTGCACTCAATTTTTGAGTGGACGGAAACACTGGTCCTCATCCATCTCCTAAATCTCTGACGTCTGGCTCCTAGTGCCACACCCCGGTAAACCGCTTCAGCTGGCGGGCTAAACGACGTGAGGGGGTGATGTCAACACTGCATCACTGGGCGAATGAGCTCCCACGACGGAGTCACCGGCCAGGGCGGAAGGGTCTCGTTAGGACCCAATGGCCAAGTGTTCGGGACTAAGGCGCGCCACTTCGTTACTGTGGACTGCGGCTGTGGCCTACCAGCTATGGTTTGAAATAGCAGGGAAGGTGGATCTCTTCAGCCTTGGAAGGCCGTCTACCTAGGAGAAGGAAACTCTGATGTAAAACCTACGGCCCGAGGACCTCGCTGTCACCGTCCCAGCTTGCTAGGCCATGGCAGACGAACCCCGGATTTAAAGGGTGGGGTCAGTTCTGCGCACACTGCACTCCACTTGAAAGCTCCTTTGCGCAGGCAAGAAGGAAATCTTCACGTCTACCCCCCCCCCCCCGGTCTCAATCCCAGATGAGACCTATACTTGCAGCTGTTGTGGCAGGACCTGCTTGTCCCGCATAGGCCTCTTCAGCCACCAGCGTGCCTGCAGAAGACGTGGATGTCCTTCCTAGATCTTCGTTCGCGAAGCCAAGCCGTGATGATGATAGCAATGAAAAGATACAATTACTTTAGTAAAAAATTTGTGTTTTAATATGTACGTGTTTTTTTATTTAGGGCCCCTTTAACACATTCCTGCGGAGGGAGCTGGTAGGAACGTTGGGTTGCTCGGTCAATGGCCAGGGTCAATGGCAGCGTGGTGTATTCCGCAAATATGGCCGACTGTGAGGGCGGGCACAAGCCGGCGTGAGTAGGTTAAACGTTGAGTTTTATAAGGGCACCACGGGGTGACCAGCCCCTCCCCACCCAACCCCACCCCTCTCACCCCCCACCCAGCCCCACCCTCCCCACCCAGCCCCTCCCCACCCTCCCCTCCCCACCCAGCCCCTCCCCACCCTCCCCTCTCCACCCAGCCCCTCCCTCCCCACCCAGCCCCTCCCCACCCACCCAGCCCCACCCTCCCCACCCAGCCCCTCCCCACCCACCCCCCACCCAGCCCCACCCTCCCCACCCTTCCCTCTCCACCCAGCCCCTCCCTCCCCACCCAGCACCACCCCTCCCACCCCCCACCCAGCCCCACCCTCCCCACCCAGCCCCTCCCCACCCTCCCCTCCCCACCCAGCCCCTCCCCACCCAGCCCCTCCCCACCCTCCCCTCTCCACCCAGCCCCTCCCTCCCCACCCAGCCCCTCCCCACCCTCCCCTCCCCACCCGGCCCCTCCCCACCCAGCCCCTCCCCACCCTCCTCTCTACACCCAGCCCCACCCCTCCCATTTTTGCATGCACGACGGACGGACGGACACAATAATCCCCTGTGGGCTGGTGGAACCAGGTGGTTCCTACCAGTATAACATCATGCTACAGGCCCCGCACTCACTGCATCCGGCGCTTGCGCGACAGGGACCGTGATTAATCGGTGAGCACAGAAAGCAGAGATCGACAGAGCTGCTCTATCGGGCAGAGCCGGATAAGAAAAATAACTAAACAGGAGCGAGACTTGTCAGATTTGACATTCGCTCGGGGTTGTGTTTGTACTGCTATGCAAGAAATCCGAGTTACGCTCGATTAATAGATACGTCAACACACGAAGATTGGCTGCTTGGCTTTACGGTTCACTGGGAGAGAAAAAAAAGGAATGACCCCTTCCATGCATTTGTTTGACAAACGTATTTCGAAAGAGGTGCTTGTCATATCAAACGAGGTTCATATGCGGGGATTACAGAGACGTGCAATGGGTCTATAGCCCGCGGGATAGAGAGAGAGAGAGAGAGACCTCGCACGGGACAACCTTATCAATGTCTGTTTATAGAGAATTAACAATTGAGAATAGGCGCCGTCAAGACGTGTGGCATTTTGCACAAAAGTGGAGAGAGAAATTATAGAGATGCGATCGCTTTCATGTCGACGACACGCGCAACAAGAAGAGGGGGGGGGGGTGGAGGGTTCACAATGGTGGAAATGAAAGAGACATCGTTCGAATGTGGTTGTTTCGCCTCCTCGCATTTTGCCAAAATGTATTCCGAGCTGAGATTAAAGAGTCCGCGAGGAGAAATCCGCGTCGATCAGCGCAGCCTCCGTGCCAAGGGAAAGCGGCTACGCGGAAGCGGACTTGACAATAAACACAACTCCTTATCTCACCTTCAAGGAATTTATGGAGCGCCTTGACCAAGGCGCTTTACGCAGATCGAACGAAGGCACAACAACGCGTGCGGAAATGTGATCGACGGCGATGATGTGAATGGAATAGAAGCAATGGGGTGGGGGGGGGAATATCTGTGACGATGCGTGAATTTGGCGAAAGCGAGATTGATGACGGTGAACGATGAGGAGGATTACGCTGTGTAACGAAAAACAAATATGAGAATAGGTTTTTCCCCTTTTATCTGGCAACAAAACAGCTGTGTTAAGTTGCTGCAACACCAAACTGAAACCTTTAACAAGGAATCATGTCTGCATTAACCACAATGCTTGTGGTCAGAATGCAAATAAAAAGCATACTCTGATAATAAATGTCTTTTGGCGTCCTCTGGTCTAACACCGTTTGAGGCGAGGCTCAAAAGAAAGCTGTCTCTGGTGTGGACCAACCAATCAGTTTAAAAGACAATGTATATATTATCAGAGTGTGTTTTTTGTTTGCATTCTGACCACAAGTATTGTGGTTAATGCAGACTTGATTCCTTGTTAAAGGTTTCAGTTTGGTGTTTTAACATCTTAACACCTGTTTTGTTGCCAGATGAAAGGAGAAAAACCTATTCCCATATTTTGGTACTGGCAAAGGAGGTCCCATGATGTAAAAAAAAACTAATTTGGTTCATGGGAAGTAAGTGTTATTTCCTAATTTTCCATGCCTTAAAAGTACATAAAATGGCTATTATTCCCCACGTAGCTTTTGTGATCAGGACAGTGATATTTTGAAATTTACCTATTTTCAATGAGAAATCGTGGTGTGCATTTGTGTCATTCCTTCACGTAAAGTCCTGGTCACAAAAGCAAAGTTTGTGGAGAATAATAGCCATTTCCTACACTTTTTAGGCACAAGCAATTAAAAAATAACACTTCCTACCTAGGGACGTAAAATCGTGTTACTTCGTGTTATTGGCGTAATTGTCTGCACTGGGTAGCGAAAGGTGGCCTGCCAGTTGTGGCATCACTTGAAGGGATGTTCCAGTCACCTTCTACCCACGCTGGAGGGAGTCGCACTAAAAACCCCATCCCGATCTACTACGTAGAAATATCCATTGCACGGCAGTCGGTCCAACGATTTTTAAAAATATATATATATAATCCTTAGAGCTGGAATGTAGCTAATTGAAGCAGAACAAAAACTATTAATGGTACGATGCTGACCAGGCTGAGACAACCAACTCACCACACTGGGTAAGCCAGGGAACTCTCCTGAAAAGGACACGCTCCACTGCCATATCTTGAATTCACACTCGGTTAAACAAAATACACTTGAAACCTCAACCCGATTTAAATGTCTAAATCAAAGACCCAATATCCCAGTGATTGCTGGTTTAGACACGTGGTTCCCCCACATCCTCAAAGGGAACTTACATCTATGAAACAATGATGATGATCATGATGGTTATAGTGATGATGATAAGCACTAAATTGTTACCTTGGTGTCGTTATAATGACAACCCCTTGTGTCGGCTCATGGCCCATCGTATTCAAACACTTACATGGCAATTGCATAAATATCAGTCAGGGCTGCTCGAGGATTCCACACGCACACACGCACACACGCACACACGCACGCACACACACAAAGACAAAGATCCCCTGTATAGCCGTAACAGACTGTAGGGGCAAGTGCTGTTAGCGAGCACCTATGAAGGCCGGAACGATACACGAGGGGGTGGGTGGCCAGCACCACGCCCGACCGCCTTTGTCTCCCTAGTGGCAATGTTTACACACCGCACCAGGTACTCATTTGAGGCTGAGTCGACCTAGGGGAGGCCCGGGACCGGTTCAGATAATTGTCACTGATGTTGGCAGTGAGCGGGAATCGAACCCGGGTCGTCAGGTTCATAGCGCAGCGCGCTAACCGCTACACTACCGCTCCCCACACACATACACACACATACACACACATACGCACACATACACACGCACACATACACACACATGCACACACGCACACAAACATTGTGTTCAAATGAGTTTGTGCATCGATGCCTGGCGGTGGTAGGGGGAGAGAAAGTCAACAATAAATAATCATGCCGCTGTATTTATTTAAAGGCCACTCTGTTAATTTGATTTGCGGCGGAAAGCGAACAATTTAACCTTCTTTTAATTAACAGTTTTCCGATAGATTTCCCTCCCGTGGCTCTGAGGCAATTAACAGAATTTTGTGTGTGTGTGTCGCGAACGTCATCGATTGTTCATTTCACGGTGGCCGCACGCGCTCACAAAGACAAAGATCGCCCGGACAGCGCCCAGTGCTGATTGTTCGGGGCAAGTGAGAGCCGGCAGGCCGCCTTTGTCTCCCCCGGAGCGGATTATGATGATTATTGTTGTTATTACGTCCAATAAATCATCGAAGGCTGAGTCGACCCAGGCACTGGTTGAGATATTCGCCGGCTGCTGAATTGGTGTTGGCCCCTGAGATGGGATCAAACTCGGGACGCCGGGTTCGTAGCGCAGCGCGCTCACCGCTCCACCACCGCTCACTCCACACACACACACACACGTACATACACACACGTACACACACACACGTGTACACAAACGTACACACACGTACACACACATGTACACACGTACACACAAATGCACTCACACATGCACGCACACACACACACGTACACACACACGTACACACACGTACACACATACACACACACGTGCACACACACGTACACACACACGTACACACACACACGTGTACACAGACGTACACACACGTACACACATACACGTAAACACACACGTAGACACACACGTACACACACACACGTACGTACACACACACGTACGTACACACACACGTACACACACACACGTACACACACACACGTACACACACACACCTACACATACACACACACGTGTACACACACACGTACACACACACACACGTGTACACACACACACGCAGCACGCAGCACGCCCCGCGTGAGCTCACACACGTGCACACACACGTACACACACACGTACACACATACCTACACATACACACATACGTGTACACACACACGTACACACACACGTACACACACACACGTACACACACGTACACACACACACGTGTACACACACAGCACGCCCCGCGTGAGCTCACACGAGGGCGCTGACGGAGAGCGGCTCCTGCTCGTGGTGCAGGAACGGCCGGTTGTCCTCGAAGCCTCCGAACGACCTCTGCTGGCTGCAGACGACAAAAACATCCCCAGCACGGCCTTCATCAGTCAACATCATCACCATCACGGCCTTCGTCAGTTAACAACATCATCATCCACAACACGGCCTCCATCAGTCAACATCATCATCTACACCACCACGGCCTTCGTCAGACAGCATCATCATCATCATCATCACCACCACGGCCTTCGTCAAACAACATCATCACCATCCCCATCACGGCCTTCATTTGTCAACATCATCATCATCACCACCACGGCCTTCATCAGACAACATCATCATCATCTCCACCACGGCCTTCATCATCACCTTCACCATCACGGCCTTCATCAGTCAACATCATCACCATCACCACCACGGCCTTCGTCAGACAACATCATCATCACCATCCACATCCCGGCCTTCGTTAGACAACATCATCACCACCATCTACACCAGGGCCTTCACCAGTTAACAACATCATCACCGTCCATACCACGGCCTTCGTCAACGTTACCATCATCACCATCCCCACCACGGCCTTCGCCAGTCAACAACATCATCATCACCATCCCCATCACGGCCTTCATCATCATCATCACCATCCACACACGGCCTTCATCATCATCATCATCCACATCACGGCCTTCGTCAGTCATCATCATCATCCACACCAAAGTCACCACCATCATTACCATCGACATCACAGCCTTCACACATTGCGACTTCATCGCAGTTACATCACCACCCCCCACCCCAGTTGTAACCGCGCGTGTGCACGACGCGATGGAAACACAAAAAGATGCATCATCACCATGAGCACATAATCCACTACTGGATGACGATCCTCTCCCCAAAGCCGTCGCCACCATCTCTCACGCTCCTGCCATGTCTCAGCAATCCGCCTGGCCATGCGCACGCCAGCGGATTCCGACGCTCCATCTCTCTTCCCACTGTCCGTTGCTCCATCTGCGACGCGTCCCCTGACTTCGATGTACGCGTCTAAGATCCCATCACAATACGGTGGAGGAGATTCTTCATGACAAGACCCGTAATGGATTTGGTCGGTGTAGCCACGAACCCCGCCGAGCCGAGTTCGATTCCCGCTCACGGCCAACGTCAGCGACGATTTTCTGAGCCGGGCATGGGGCCTCCCCCCCCCCTAGGTCGACTCAGACTTAAATGAGTACCTGGCGCGGCGTGTAAACATCGCCGCCTCGTCGTGTTGGCCACCCTCCCCCTCGTGTGCCGTGCCGGCCTTCGTAGGTGCTCCTTGCTAACAGCACTTGCCCCAACAGTCTGTGCAGTCTATACGGGGGAGCTTTGTATATTTTTGTTAATTAATTCCATTGCTGCGGTGCATGGGTCATTCTGACATCGCTGGTGTAACACCCCACCCACCACCAACACCACCACCACCAATACCACCACCACCAACATCACCACCAACACCACCACCAACACCACCACCAACACCACCACCAACACCACCACCAACACCACCACCACACCAACACCACCACCAACACCACCAACACCACCAACACCACCACCACCAAACCACCACCACCACACCACCACCAACATCACCACCACCAACACCACCAACACCACCAACACCACCACCACCAACACCAACGCCACCACCAACAACACCACCACCAACCCACCACCACCAACACCACCACCACCAACACCACCAAGACCACCACCACCAACACCACCACCAACACACCACCACCAACACCACCACCACCACCAACACCACCACCAACACCACCAACACCACCACCAACACACCACCACACCACCAACATCACCACCAACACCACCACCAACACCACCACCAACACCACCACCAACATCACCACCAACACCACCACCAACACCACCACCAACACCACCAATACCACCACCAACACCACCAACACCACCACCACCAACACTACCACCACCAACACCACCACCACCAACACCACCACCACCACCACCACCACATTTGCCCTAAAACAGCCGTTTCGGCAACAGCCAGATCAGAGGTCGTCGCTATTGACGATGACGCTGACGAATCATCTCCAGCACGCCACCACGACCGGCGGCGTGACCACTCACACGGTCGGTCCATGTGGCATTGGGGCCGTCCATAAATTACGTCACGCGATTTTGGACGAGTTTTGACCCCCCCCCCTTCCCTCGTCACACGGCGTCACAAAAAGTCAGACCCCCCCTCAAATATGACGTCACAAAGTTTTGCCCCCCCCCCACCCCCAAAACCATATTTCCATTTTAAAAATGAAACATGCTCCAAACCCATATTTCCATTTTAAAAATGAAACATGCTTCCAATCGCTTTAAACTATTGTCATTGTAGTGCGTATTTAATGTGGCGCTGCACTCTGATGTTGTAGGAGTGTTGTTATAACAATTAGTGTTGTTATAGCAATTATATATTTAGTTAAAGTTGCGCATTTTGATGTGAAATCACATTTCTCACCCCCCCCCTCGTCACACATCGTCATAAATGTCTGACCCCCCCCCCCCAGGTGCGTGACGTCATTTATGGACGGCCCCATAACCTCCCGGCTATCGGTTGTTGTTGTTGTTCTCGCAACTTTCTGTTTGTAGGTGAAGTTGTCTCGCCACTTTGGAAGAGTTTATCTAGAGATCAATCGATTTAAAATTTTTGGTCCGCGTTTTGGGCAACTGAGAAAACGGGAGACGTCTTTCTGGCTTCGCTTGCCACCAAGGGCAGCAGCGGGTTGGGTCGATTCGATTTCGGTATTCGGCGAGCACGGAGCAGCGACCTGATCGGAGTTGAGCCACTTTCGTGCGAGTTGCCCGGGTCAGGGATTTTTCGTCGTCCGCTTTGGGTGTTGGCCAACCCCCAGCACGACATTGGGCTATCGGTTCGGAGCCACGAACGCATCTCGCGCGAACCCCATCCAGGTCGTCATCCTCGCAGCAGCAGCTGCAGGAGCAGCAGCAGCAGGGGCAGCAGCAGCGGCAGCAGCAGCAGTAGCAGCAGCGGCAGCAGGAGCAGAAACAGCAGCAGCGGATGCAGCAGCAGCAGTAGCAGCAGCGGCAGCAGCGGCAGGGGCTGCAGCGGCAGCAGCAGCAGCAGGGGCTGCAGCAGCAGCAGGGGCAGCAGCAGCGGCGGCAGCAGCAGCAGGGGCTGCAGAGGCAGCAGCAGCAGGGGCTGCAGCAGCAGCAGGGGCAGCAGCAGCGGCGGCAGCAGCAGCAGGGGCTGCAGAGGCAGCAGCAGCAGGGGCTGCAGCAGCAGCAGGGGCAGCAGCAGAGGCAGCAGCAGCAGCAGCGGCAGCAGCAGCAGGGGCAGCAGCAGCGGCAGCAGCAGCGGCTGCAGGAGCAGCAGCGGCAGCGGTAGCGGCAGCGGCAGCTGCAGCAGGGGCAGTAGCAGCCGCAGCAGCGGCAGCGGCAGCAGCAGCAGCAGGAGCAGCAGCGGCAGTAGCGGAGGAGGCTTCTGGCTGGGGGGCCATCGAACAAAGTCGGCGGTCACCGCAATCGCGCGGCGCTTTCGGATACGCTGCTTCTGCGGCCCGTCTGGAACGCTCTTCCCTTCCGATGCGAGGAAGCCACGGGGGAGCTGTGGACTTTCAAATGATCCAGATTTGGAAACTCGTTTCTTCAGAGCTGCGTTTTGTGTTTAGTTTGCTCGTGTTGTTCTTCTTCCCCCGCACCTCCGAGTAGCGCGGTTGGCCACGCACGGTGCGAAAGAAGTTTCAACATACGCGCGTACGTACCTACATACTCGTACGTACATACAAATGCTGCACGGTCACCTTTGCCGAGAGTGTAGTTCCGTGCCATTGTCAGCAGAGGGCAGCGATGTACGCGCGGCCATCTCCCGTCCAGGCACGGACCACTTGAAGACGATTCCTCGTGTTGCGATCGAAACGTCGTGATGTTATTATTTAGATTTTTTTTCCCTATCTACGTGGCTTTAACCGAAAGACCCAAAGAACCAGGGTTAGGAGATGAAAGGAGATTTGGCGAATCCCTGGTGATTGGGTCAAGGGACATCTGGGAAGGTGAGGCCGCAACAAATAACGGGGGGGGGGGGGGGGGGGGCTAGTTAGAGCTCAAAGTTCAAAGGTCAGAGGGATGCGCTGGTAATTGAGTCGACGGTCTCAGCCCCGGTCACTTTTGAATATAGAAGAAAGGAAGAGATCACCACCGAAGTTGGTTCCACAATTCCGTTGATCAAATCGCATCTCTGAGAATAAAAGTGCTGCAGTTCAGAGGCCATCTAAAACGGATGGCATGGGAATTTCCACAAATGTCACAAACGTCTAAACTAAAACTATTTTTTTTATTTTACCACGTAAGGCCCACTGCGCTATACAGCTTTTTCTAAGAAGCGACCTGGCCACAAATGATGGCTCAACGAAGTGGCTTATCGCGTGGAAATTTAGAGCAGTCAAATACTGCACGTTCATATCTTAACGTGGAGGGATAAACTGGAGGACTCGGAGAAAAATCCACGCGATCACGGGGAGAGAGAGAGACACACACGCAAACTCCAAATATACAGCAGGCGTCAGGGTCGGAATCGGGGTCGCGATCGAACCCACGACCGCCTGTATACCAGGCGAGGTAGTTAACATCTCCTAGCCACCGTGGCGCCGTGTCTGAGTGCCACGAGCAGCAGAAAAAACATGAATCTGTCATCATGGCCAGCCGGGAAGCGCTGCCCCCTACCGTGCAGGTCAGAGGTCACTTGAAGGCGAACGTTGCATTTCTTTTGCACCGTACGTAGCCAACCGTGCTAATCGGAGGTTTCCTTGTGACCTTCGCTGACGAGGGTCGCCTTCCACCACGGCCGACTGCCCTTCTCAGCGGTGGATTCCGATTGGCGGTGGCGGCGACTTCTTCTTGTTCTCACGATACAACGATAGCACCATTGGGATTCAAAACCCCGAAGAGCCGAGAGAAAACCTGGAACACGAGTAGCAAGGACGCCGCGTCGGGTTTTTTGGGGGGGATTTGCACGATGCCGTGGTGGCTAGGAGATGTTAACTACCTCGCCTGGTATGCAGGAGGTCGTGCGTTGGATATCCCGACCCTGATGCCTGCTGTATATTTGGAGTTTGCGTGTCTCTCTCTCTCTCATCATCATTACGGTGGCTAGGAGATGTTAACTACCTCGCCTAGTGTGCAGGAGGTCGTGCGTTCGATATCCCGACCCTGACGCCTGCTCTATATTTGGAGTTTGTGTCTCTCTCTCTCTCCCAGTGGTCGTGTGGAATTTTCTCGGGGTCCTCCGGTTTTTCCCCTCCACATTTAGGAACATGAGTTTGGAGGGTGAGGCTGTTGTTAATTTCCACATGATGATGAGCCACTTCGTTGCGCTATCATTTGTGATAGCCAGGTCGCTCCTGAAAAAGAGCTAGATAGGCCAGTGAGCCTTACCTGGCAAAAAAAATAGTTTAGTAAAAAAAACAAGGGTTAGGTCCCTAATCGGGTTCTCCGGTTTTTCCCTTAACATTCAGAATCAACATAACGCGTTTAAAGTATTTGGCCGCTCTACATGTCCATGTGATAAGCCACTTCGTTGAGATCTCGTATATGGACAGGACGCTTCTAAAAAATATCTTTATAGCTCAGTGAGCCTTAATCTGGTAATATAAAACATTAGTTGATAGTTAAAAATAATAATATTTAGGTCCCTAATCGTAGCACAAGAATCATCTTGACGATAGTTATCGTGACCCCGTGTTGCAGACACACACAGACGTGTCGGACGCAGGCAATGCATTAACACTTTCCCCTGGGAAAAAAAGAGCGATATAGGTCAGAGGGCTTTACCTAGGAAGAAAAAAAAAGTCACGATATATTCACGAAACAAATTTGAGTCAGCGCCACGAGTTTAACCTCCTCCGACGTGGAGAGTTTCTCTCGTTCATAATCTGGAAAGCGGCGTTGTAGCCCAAGAGAGGGCTTTCATTGGGGCTCGGTGTTCCTTTCCTCCCCCCTCGCATGAAATCGATGGCGCCTCTGGGCGCACATTCTCTGATAATGCGATGAGGGAGGGCGGTGACCCGACTGAGTTACCGTTTGGTAATAAAAGAGAATGAGGTAATGATCGCTCGTGGAATTATTCATTACCTCACCAAACAAATGACCACGCTTCCATCAGGTAGTTTAGAAATTGCGCTCTTACCCGTGCGAGGCATAACCCCAATTTCCGTGATAAATAAAATACAATTAACGTGAATTGCCATTATTCACCACTCACAGCGCCTCGGCTGAATCTGCACTTGAATGAGGAAGATTTGTAGCGGGTGGCATTTGCTGGAATTTACTTTTATTCAATTATGCAAGCCCATCAAATATTTATCAGACTCTCCCAGGCTCTCATTAAATGAAGTCTGACATCCAAAATAGAACACTCGGAGAGAGAGAAAGAGAGAGAAAAAATATATATATTCTCTCCGCGTCCTCTCTATGCCTCCGAATCACTTCGCACGCACCCTAGCCCCGACATCCGGCACTCACGCCACGGAGGGTGTCGGAGCTTCACCATCGCTTCGTCGACCTTATTCCGCTTCGCTCCTCGGCCTTATGGGCCGCGTGAGGTCTGCTGATCAATTCCTTCACCGATATCTCCTTGCACCCGCTCTGTCCGCTCTCTCTCTTTCTGTCCGTCGCTGCCTCTTGCAGCCGAGAGGGCCTCCATCCCCGGCGTCCGTTCAGATCTTGGTCTCAATCTTCTTCTCACATCACCTTCCGTCCTCTTGCGGCCGGTCAGCACTCATCCTGGTCACGTGTCCGCATTGTTTCTTGAATGCAAAGACGCAGCTCTGAAATTGCTTGATCGCGTCACTGCTGGCAGAACTTCCTCCACGAGAGGGAGCTCTTCAGGCTCTCTTTAGAGGTCATTTCGGCCTACTCTTCCTACCCCGGCTAGGCTTCTTGGAAAAGGTGCAAGTACTCCACGCTTTAGCACCACCGCCCTCAACCTGCCGATCGACTCGCTGCGGTACGCAACCATTAAATACTGCCGGGTGGACAGGGAGGGCTTTAAGAAATCTGTCCCATTGTTTCAACTGCTTCTCCACAGGGAAATCGAACCGGTTGACCTCTGGATTGCAAGCCCGGCGCGCTACCCGCTGCACCACGGCAGCGAAACGCGGCCGTTGCGTGAGCGCGAGTTCGCTCGAGATAATGCGGCGCTGACTGACAATTCTATTACGCGAAATCGCCTCTCGCGATCACGGCATCTTGACGCACATCGGCCTCCGATCGCATCTCCGATGTCGGCGCTTCGTGCGCGCGGCGCCACAAAACGCAACGGAGAGAGCCGCAAGCAAACCGCCGCGAGTTTGCGCCGAAGACAAAAGACAAAGATCCCCCGTGTAGCCTTCGACAGGCCGGTCGGGGCAAGTGCTGTTCGTGAGCGCTAATGAAGGCCGGCACGGCGCATGACGGGCGTGGTGTGAGTCACACCACGCCCGGGCCACCTTTGCTGTAATTTATATTTGCATCATTTGCTGTTACTTTATTTTATTGCTTTAGAATTTTGTCACTTTGCTGAACCAGGTCACTCTTGCGATTGAGATTCATCCTGGTCTCGAGACTCCACGCCTGCTTCAACAAAGTAAACTTGAACACTGTAATGGGGTAGTGCTCACCCCAAAAGAATTGGTTGCATCAGGGACCACGAAAATATTTTCTGCTTCGGGTCTCCAAATTTTGATGGCAGCTACCACTGGCTGCGCCTCTGCCTTGAGGCGCGGCTACATTTCGACCCTCTATAAAATGTTGTTGATTGTCGTCCAGGTTGCTGACGTAAGCTTGTGAAGAAATAAATCAAGCTGCGTTTACTCGTTTGTTAGCAGCTCCTCGCTCGTCGAGGGTTAGTGCCCAACACGTGTGAAAAAAAAACTTTATAGCTCATCGGATTCTTCCAGCATGAATAAATAAATATGCCGATTCTTATAGCAGGCAAACTGTAACCTCGTGGTTTTAACAATTCGAGAAAACGTTGTGCGGTTTAATTTTCGTCGACGGTGTGTGCTGTGCTTTCTGCGTTTCCGTGTGGACCGATGATCTTCGTCTAACATCTACAGGGGTCCTGCCGGGTGGTGTGATGCCCTCCCTCGCGACTGACGTGCAGCGGCAAGGCCCCAGGTTCGGAATTGTAGGAAATAATCTCAGTGGTCGCGAGCGTTGGCAGACGAACGCTTCTCCTCCGTGTCGTTCGGTGGCCGATTCATCCCGCCACCTTCCAACTCTCCCCTCTCCATTGGTCGCGAAATAGCAGTGCGGCAGCAGACAACCTGCCCACCCACGCACCCACCCCGGGCTCCACCGACCCACCCACGTACCCACCCCTGACCCACCAACCCACCCGCGCAACCACCCCTGACCCACCGACCCACCCACCCCTGACCCACCGACCCACCCGCGCACCCACCCCTGACCCACCGACCCACCGACCCACTCACCCCTGACCCACCGACCCACCCACGCACCCACCCCTGACCCACCCACGCACCCACCCCTGACCCACCGACCCACCCGCGCACCCACCCCTGACCCACCGACCCACCCACCCCTGACCCACCGACCCACCCGCGCACCCACCCCTGACCCACCGACCCACCGACCCACCCACCCCTGACCCACCGACCCACCCACCGCTGACCCACCGACCCACCCGCGCACCCACCCCTGACCCACCGACCCACCGACCCACCCACCCCTGACCCACCGACCCACCCACGCACCCACCACTGACCCACCCACGCACCCACCCCTGACCCACCGTGAACTTTTGGCTCGCTGCGCCGCGAAGATCGAGCCAGCTCGATCTCGACTACCGTGGAGTGACACCGGTGAGGCAGCACTGGGAATGGTTCGCACACATCGGAGCTGGTCTTGGCGATCACTTTTAATTAGCAAACAAAGTGCGCGTAGCCTCATTGACACATGTCACCCCCCCCCTTGCCCCCTCCCCCGCTCCCAAACCCCCCACACTCCCTCCCATCAAGCCCGGATCACCCGAAGCAAGACTGCGCCAATCCGTTCCGTGTTTTTTTGTTGTGCCCTGAGTTCAGCGGCGTGAAGCGCCGAGAAACGCGGAGGGGTGGAGTGTCCCACAGGCGTCACATTGGGTCAGGATCCCCGTCCTTAGCGAGGGGGGGGCAAGGGGGGGCGAGGGGGGGTGGGGGGGTGAGGGGAGGGGGCTGCGTGGAGCAGCACTCACTTGTCTGTGGGGACATTGTCATTCTCCTCCACGTGCAGACTGCGTCTCAGCCGCTTCACCTCCTCCTGCACGCACGCACGCACGCAAAGACAAAGATCACCCGCATAGCCTTTAACGGGCTGTTGGGGCAAGTGTTGTTCGCGAGCAGCAAACTACGAAGGCCCGATACGGCACACGCAAGCGGCGGTGCGGCCAGAACCACGCCCGGCCGCCTTTGTCTCCCCAATGATGACGTTCACCCAAGGCTGAGCCGACCTAGGGGAGGTCCGGTTCAGATATTTGCCACTGGGATTGATCGTGATCGGGAATGGAACTCGAGTAAGCAACCACGCACAACCCTCCCGTGAGACTCAGTGGAGCTCTCTCTCTTTCTCTCCAGACGCGTCTACGTGTGGTTGAACTTCTTTCGCGCCGTACGTAGCCAACCGCGCCAATCGCAGGTGCGGGGGAAGGTCACACACAAACTAAACATGCAACAACAACAACGAGCACAGAGACCTCAAGGGCATCGAGGGTCAACCTGGGAGGCATCGGGGCTGAAGAGTTTCGTGAAACCAGGGGGTGTTTGTCGTGAAACGGCGTCAGCGTCACGCCTCTCTAGACCTGAGCGTGCCTGCAAGACTTGCAGGGTGCTTCAAATACAAAGATGTGAACGCCTCTGAGAAGTTTGCAACAATAATCACGAGAAATGTGCCTTCCAGGGGCCTCTGGAGACCACCTGGAGAGGATTCCAGGCACGCGTTGGCAATGGTGGCGAGCAAGTGGAGACTCGATCTGAAGCTTTCGTGACTGCAAGGGTTCATACTTTTTGTTTTTTTTCGGTAAAGTTCACGGAGGTAAAACAATCAATAAAATAAAATAAATGAAGGGAAATAATAAAATAATAAAAATAAAACATAATAAAATAATTCTCACGACGTTTCGGCCACAACGCAAGCAGCCGTCCTCATGTGAAGAACAGGTCTGTCGAAAAGACAGAGTCTGAATGAAACACCACCACGCTTGGCAGCGTATATTTAAGCTGGGTTGGAGGGGGAAGAGCGCCTTGACAAAGGACGCTGTCTTTCCGACAGCCCTGTTCTTCACCTGAGGACGGCTGCTTGCGTTGTGGCCGAAACGTCGTGAGAATTATTTTATTATGTTTTATTTTATTATTTTATTATTTCCATTCTACGTGACTTTACCGAAAGAACCAAGAAGATATATTTGTCGACTTGAGGTTTGTACAGGGTGCTCCAGATGTCTTGTGACCCCCCGACTAAGTTGACCCCTAACATATTTTATTTTATCCCCTTCCATTTGCATGTTAATTTCCGTTTTAAATAAACCTTGCTTACAAAAATAATGTTACTTTTCAGAGAATGAAATGATGGACGGCCAAAAGACATCTGGACCACCCTGTCCATTCAAAATGGGAGTACGCTCAAAAAGGTTTGGGTGAATCGAGCGTAATGAAAGTCTTCGCTTGACGCTTTCTTGTCGCAGGCCTTCCTTTAAATTGGGAAGCCACTGGAGCAATGCACTTGTAAATCGCCTCGAGTGAAAACTAATTTCTTTAGCGCTGCTTGTGTTGTCCTTCCATCGCGCGCCTCCGATTATCACGGTTGGCTATGCACGGTGCGTAAGGAGTTCAACACACGTGGGTTCGATAGCGACATTGACGCCTGCTGTATATTTGGAATTTCCATGTCACTCTTACGGTGGTCGCTTGGAGTTTTCTCTCCGGGTCCTCTGGCTGTTTCCTCTACACGTATAAACATGCGCTGTATGTACGTAGGTTGCATTCCTTTCGCACAGTAGGTGGCCAAGCGTGCTAATTGGAAGTGCGGTATATCTTCTTGGTTCTTTCGGTAAAGTCACGTAGAAGGGAAGTAATACAATAATACAAATAAAACATAATAAAACAATTCTCACGACGTTTCGGCCACAACGCAAGCAGCCGTCCTCAGGTGAAAACCAGGTCTGTCGAGGCGACAGCGTCTGAGGACGGCTGCTTGCGTTGTGGCCGAAACGTCGTGAGAATTGTTTAATTATGTTTTATTTTTATTATTTTATTACTTCCCTTCTACGTGACTTTACCGAAAGAACCAAGAAGATGAATCCCTGCAGTCACGAAAGCTTTAAATCGAAGAAAAAGTGCGGTATAGTTTAGAATATTTCACTGCTATAACATTTCCATATGGTAAGCCACTTCATTGAGCAATCATTCGTTACAGGGTCGCTTGTAAAAAGAGCTGCGTGGCTCAACGTGCCTTACCTGGTGAAATTAAAATAGTCAGATCGCGTGAATATATACATGTGTCGTTAAACCCGCCACCACCCGACACAGCCAATTAGTAAGGGTTGGCTGTCAGATGTGGCTGTCGCCTGATGAAGCTTGTCGACTTCATTGGTGAAACGTCGGACTCAGATTGCAAATGTTGTGGCTTGGCTCTCCAACACACTGGTTAGTGCGGTACTAGTGACGAATTGGCCACGTTCTGTTTACGTGACAACCCTTACTAGTCAGCTGTGTCGGGTGGTGGCGGGTTTAACGACACATTCATATTTTTGCGCGATCTAACCCAAAAAAACTCCTGTATTATGAATGTTATTGGTCACGAAAGTCTACGTGTTAAACTGAAATAGCTTAGTTTAGTGTCCACTGTTAATATTTAAATATTAAACCTATTAATAATGTACAGCTCCCTTGTCAATCCACTGCTGGATGAAGGCCTCCCCACGCCGTGTCGGATATGGGGAGGGGTTGTTTGACCATACTTCACCACGCCGGCCAGTGCTGATTGGTGGAGGTAAGCACGCAGAACCGGTGCTGATATCGCATGCCACTGATGTTAGCCGTGACCAGAGCGTAGCCGTGCATCGTCAGTATCCAGGAATTCAACTCAGGTGACCAGGTAGCATAGGCACAGTGCGCCAACTATTGTACCACCGCTCCACCAGTATATAAATAAATTAAAAATAACATTCCTGGATTAAAAACACACCCAGTCCAAATATTTACCAAATTCTCATGCCATATTTTTTCCCCCACACGTTAGTTTCACTGCATCTCATTTCACTCGAACGCGCACTTTGGAAACCGCAGCGTATTTATGTCAGGGTTTCTTTGCCTTTCCCCAACTTGAGACGAAAAACGAAACGTAAATAGATCACAGGCGGAAGAAATATACGGCTACGTGCAGGGACAAATAACAGAATCGTTTGCGGAGGAGGTGGGGGCGGGGGAGAGACTCTGCACTCCTCCGATACCGATCGGGGCCACGTGGTGGGGTGATGGAAGGTCACGTGTCAAACGCGCGTTACCGCGGCCACGACCTTTCGCCCGGAGGTCACCGTAACGACCGGTGGTGGGATTAGCCGTAAAGCGGGGGCGCATCCCAGGCCCGGCCGTGTCACTGCTACCACCTCCAAGGGCATCGGTCGGTCGGACCAGACGCGCGCCTCGCCAGAGACCTGGAACGGCCCATCAGTGACACGGCGAGAAAAAAGCGGTGGCACGCGGCTTGTCGCCAGAGCGTTTCGTGGCCTTTGAATCCAGGGGCAGCACGGGTCGCCCTGGTTGAACACCGCGGGGTGTAATTCACCATCAAAATACACGCCGACTGCTTCACGATGGACGAAAACAAATCCCGTGGACGCTTCTTTCGAAAAAACACGAGTAAAAGCCATGGAGAGCCAGCGCCATTGTCCAGGTTGAACAAAGAAGTGAACAAATGATTTGTATTCTTGGTTCTTTCGGTAAAGTCACGTAGAAGGGAAAAAAATATATAAATATGTTATTTTATTATTTCCCTTCTAATAATATAAAATAATATATTTATATTTTTTATTATTTCCCTTCTAATTAGTTTATTATTTCCCCTCTACGTGACTTTACCGAAAGAACCAAGAATGTGAATCCCTGCAGTCACGAAAGCTTTAAATCAAAATTTAAATGATTTGTAAATTACAGAATTGGGAATCACAGCAGTGGTCGCCCTCGTCTTGCATAATCTCAGCAGGACCCTCCTGAAGGTGTCTTGAGACTCACTAAGGCTATCCTGGGTAAAGGAAAAAAAGTGCACTCATAACAAGTGCCGTTGTAGTATGATCATGCCGGCCTTAATAGATGCTGCCTCACAGCCCTTGCCTCAGCGGTTTGCGTGGCTACATGCAAATTATACAAAACTCATCTTCGTGCGAGTTCAATATCCCAGTCATTGTCAGCATTGGTAACAAGTGGTGCTCAGAATTAATAGTTCGACGTGCCACTCGTCAATATTACAAGCAGCGCAGTGTGAATAATTTTTTTGTTCCGTATCAGAACTTGTCCTGCACCTCCACTAGGTCCACTCGGCCGTAATTCACGGGGAATAGCCGCAGTTAGTCGATCGGCAGTTTTGCTTGTAGTGGAGTAAAGTGTGGGGATCTCTCCCCCCCCACCTCCCTTCCTTGCGAGAAGAGTGGGAAACACGCGCCTCGAGAGGGGCTCTCCCGGGCCCCCTCTAGCGGCTGCCCTTCCGCCAGCAGCGGCTTCAGAGCGCAGCCTGCAGGGGCTGCGCTTTGACCTGCACGTGATTGAGCAACTATCGTGTCCATGGAGGTGCGGCGGGGGGGGGGGGACACAGCGCCCATTCAAGGTTTAGAGAGCCCTGATTCATGTCCTCGGCGTTATCTTACGAAATGCGATGAATATTTCTTCTCTCTCTCAAAGACAAAGATCCTCCGTCCAGACATTAACAGGCTGTAGGGGCAAGCGCTGTTAGCGAGCACCTATGACGGCCGGCACGGTACACGAGGGAGTGGGTGGCCAGCACCACGCCCAGCCGCCTTTGTATCCCCAGTGGCGATGTTTACACACCGCTACACCAGGACCGGTTCAGACAATCGCCACTGGTGTTAGTGGCGGTGAGCGGGAATCGAACTCGGGTCGCCGGGTTCGTTGCGCAGCGCTCACCGCTCTCCCCCCCCCCCCCGTTCTCTCTCACACGCACATCTCACCTCTCTGTCTTCTAACCCTGGCAAGACCCCCCCCCAACCTCCCCCCCCCACCGCCCCCCCCCCACCGCCCCCCCCACCGCCC